AAAAAAAAAAATGAATGACGGCGGGATCGAACCCGGGCCGTCGGCGTGCTAGCCGAGCACGTTACCACTAGGATAACGAACTATTATAATAATATAAACTCATTAGGAGTATATATTTTGCAAAAGTATCGTTTTAAAAAATTGCTAATTTTTCAATTTTACTGGATATCATCTCGATTTTCAAATATTCAGTTTTTAAACGATTTTTCGATTGATTTGCCATTAACAAAAAAAAAAAATTGGAATTATTTTGAACAAAAAAAAAATGAATAAAGCCGGGATTGAACCCAGGCCGCCGGCGTGCCAGTCGAGCACGTTACCGCTAGGACAACGCGCTCCTTTAAAAATTTAAATTCATTAGTGGTATATCTTCAACATATTGAATAATTTTTTTCATTGAAATTCCACAAAATGTGGTTTCCCCCTTCCGTACGTTCTACAGTCGGCTAAATTTCAGTTAAACAAATGAAAAACAAAAAGCATTCGTACAGCAGAAAATAAAATTCACCCCGTCGACTTGATGGACACCCCAGCATTGCAATAAAAACTTGGTTAATAAAAAAAAACACCCCAGAATTGCGTGTTGCACCCTCCCTCTCTTGGGGTGCAGTACTACGATGCCACTGGGTCACTCAAACGCACTCTTCGCGCTCAATTCTCAAGGTGAAAAGATAAAACGGTTACAACAATGCTGCCAACCCCGTAAGAAAGATGGCGATTCGATCAGTATGTAGTAAAAATAATAATAATGGCTATAAACAATAACATAACCTATTGAAGAATAGTATACCAACGTGCAGTGTGTGTGCGTGTGAAAATTGTTGACGCATTTGTTGAGGGATATGGATAATCATAGTGAAGAGAAAATGGAAAAAATCGAGTTTAAGAAAAAGATAAGACATAAGCCTCTCAGGAAACGTCAACAGGACTCTGATGAGAGTGAAAATGAAGATGATAAAAATACCTCTGTCCGGTAAGTTAACAATATGAATAATAAACTCTTATCAATTTCCTATCATTTTTACTCTTCTCGTTTTATTTCTCTAGTATACATTTGTTATTTACATTGTTGTTATTAGGAATAAAGTCGAGGAGATGAAGACGATTCAAAAATTGAGGCAACGACCTAATGGAGTAAATATCATTGGTTTAGCTCTTGGAGAACAAGGAACTACAGACGCAACTAATGTACGCTGGGAATTCATTGAACAATTTAATCCTTCCTTTCTAGAAAATGTAGAACTCAATTTGTTTGAATTTCCAGCCTTCAGATCCTTTCAACACTAAATCCGGAGGAATGGTCAACATGAAAGCCTTGAAGAATTCAAAATTCAAGCAGGATGATGCCTATGATACTGGCATAGGCACACAATTCAATGCTGAGACGAATAAACGTGATGAGGATGAGGAAATGTCAGTGAATCTTTCAGATCTGACTTGAATTAAAACTTTTTATCGTTTTGTTATGTGAAATTTCTGTTCAGGGTTAAATATATTGAGGAGGAACTATCGAAGAGGAAAAATACAACGAGTAATGATCCGTCGAATAGTCAATCTGGTGGGAGGAATTACTGTTCACCTGAGGAGGCTGCCCTCCAGGCTGTTCCTGAACATTTGAGACAGAGTTCTGCTCACAGGAGTGAGGAGATGTTGTCGAATCAGATGCTATCAGGGATACCAGAAGTCGATTTGGGAATAGAGTAATTATTTCATTATTTATTTTTTTTGTTCTGCGAGAGGGGAACATAAAAGAACAGTACAGGTTATAAATCTTTAATTTTTCAGTGCAAAAATAAAAAATATTGAAGCTACGGAGGAGGCGAAACAAAAATTGTTATGGGAGAGACACAGGAAAAATGATGGACCATCGCAATTTGTTCCGACCAATATGGCTGTTAATTTTGTACAACACAATCGATGTGAGTTACTCTATCATTCATCGTGTGTTATAACAAGTTTATCAGACATTTTTATCCTGTCAAATATTCATTAGATTTTATTTCATGATTATCACGGGGTAATCTGTCAAAAATAATTCCCATACATAATATATTGGGAAATAAATTCAATAGGGTAACCGCAAAAGGAGTGTGGCGGCCACGTACTCCGGTGAATTAAACTTTTAAAATTTTTCAGTTAATATTGACGACGGAAAAGTGAAGAACGATGGAGTGCGAGCTGAGAAAGCTGACCCGAAGGAGGATCCAAAAGGCAAAAGAAAAGAGAGCAGCGAAAAGGCAACCGATGATTACCATTACGAAAGATTCAAGAAACAATTTCGAAGGTTCTAGATCAGTCTATAACTTAACAATTCTGATCTCATCAAATAAAAAAATTTCTTGATACATTCAGTGTTGTAAAATTGTAAATACTAAAATAAATAGATTTTGTTAATTTTCCGCTGAATAAATTGAGTAGTCCATCCACAAAATATAAACAAATTGAAATTACAATAATCAATATATAAAGAAACAATTATAATTGATCATCGGATTGCATTGAATTCGACAGAATTTTAATTGCATTGCATAAAAATGAAAAAAAATCACATCCAATGAATTGAATCTGTCAATTCGTTAGAAAATACTACTAGACGTGCGCTGTTGTCCTACGATGGCGTCGCAATGGCGTTAGTAGACGCCTGACGTCATTGACAATCGCAATAATAACGTGTCACAAATACCTGACAGTTTACTGTCCACCACTCCCAAAAACGTCAACAACTTTTCCGAATCCCCAAAAACTAAAAAACAAACACACAAATCCAATCCATAACCAAACACACACAAGGGTTACAACTAAAATCGTGTGAACTCGAAGAATTATCTCGTAAACAATTACAATTGCGTCATCGTCGGGTGCAGTAAAGGAAAAGCATTCATCTAAAATAATGAATACTTGCGGATTCGTGACTTGCGGCCCCAATGAGGCGTTGGTAGTATCAGGTAAACAATAAAAATAATTATGATGTTGTAAACATTTATGAGGTGTTGTGTTATTATTTTGAGGTACGTTGCTACATAGCAATTGTCGATAGACGAAATTATGTGCTTCATTAGGTGGAGATCAATTAGGGTCGCGTGATTGATCTATCCAGATTTTCAAGGCTTTTTTTTTTATTTGTCATTATCTTTTGTTATTGTTTCCAGGATGCTGCTACGGGAAACCACTCCTTGTCCCTGGAGGACGAGTTTTTGTCTGGCCGATTGTTCAACAGGTTCAAAAGTGAGAATATCTCATGATTTTTTTGCCCGGACTATTGATCAAGTCGTCATAGAGGGGGGATACTGCGAGAGTATGCTGGAACTGACCAAAATATCTAGCTGAGGAAATTTGTTCACTTACGCTATTAATTTTTTTAATTACTCAATGCACAATAATCCAGATATTTTTAATTAAGCCGAATAACAGGTGTTTGGGATAACTAGAGTATATGGCGCGCTGATATTTTTTTTGTATTATATAATTTTTCAAATTTAAATTAAAAGAAACACATGTATCTATATGCATAGCTTAGGTATGCACCGAAAAAAGGTAACAAAAAAAATGACATGCTTTTTTTTCAAAGGGATTATTCGCTTATTAGTGATTAATATGAGATTAGAGAATTAATGCGAATCCTTGGGTTCCAGAATATCGTTGAACACCATGACCCTCCAGGTTGAGAGTCCTACTGTTTACACGAGCCAGGGAGTTCCTATATCTGTTACAGGAATTGCACAGGTAATATCTGTTTTTATAGAACGAATTTCTAAGCATGGGAAAACATAAATAATATCTCATGAGAACAGAAATAAAATTAAAAAATTGATGACTGAGAAATAAAAATCGCCAGACTTTTTTCGAAGAGGTCATCGTTGGTCTAATTATCGGTCACACTGATGTAATACAAAAAATTGATAAAAAAAAGAAATCAATGCTCCCCAGGTGAAAATCCAAGGACAAAATGAAGAGATGCTGTCGACGGCATGTGAACAATTCCTCGGGAAGGATGAGCATGAGATTCACGATATTGCTCTGGTGACTCTCGAAGGACACCAGCGAGCAATAATGGGAAGTATGACAGTCGAGGAGATCTACAAGGATCGCAAGAAGTTCAGCAAGGAGGTGTTCGAGGTTGCCAGTAGTGATCTCATCAATATGGGTATCACTGTGGTCTCGTACACCCTGAAAGATATCCGCGATGAAGAAGTAAGTGGCATGATCATTAGGACTGAATATTTTCCACTATCCAATCTTCAAACTTAATAAGTCGAATCTCCATTAATTCATTTCTCCTGTAAGTTATGGAATATTTTCTAAAAATTGACGAATATCAAATGACCTTAATAAGGTAAATAATAATGGTTGCTCTCACCGAATTCCGAATTTAATGAAAATACTTGCATGGGAAGATGTTTTCCAAAGATTCGAACATCAAGAGCAATTGAATTTTTATTTTTTATCTTCTCGAGACCCTGTGGAGTAGAAATAATCGACTTATTATGTTTATCCTCGCAAATAACAATCTGGAATCTTGATCTTAGATGAACTATAAACTAACTAGCATGTTTTAATGGTCTACAATATCTAACATAGTTTACATTTAATTTAATGGCCAGCATCGTCGATGTAGTGGAGAATGATGCAGTATTGTCGGCTATTTTCGCTTTTCTTTCCACCAAAACAATATCTTATGCAAATCTCTAATGTGTATATTGAAATGTCTGTTTGTTTTTAATCTTGCAGGATTCAAAGGTACGTTTATTTACTAGACCCATGCGTTTGTATGTCTTTTTATCAATATATTTTTCTTCAATCTCAGCAGTAATCACCTATTACCGCCTTTTCTTTGCTGATTGCTGCGCATGTAGAAAATAGTTTGAATAGATTAAACAATAGAGAAATCTTAAATGATCGATTTAGACTTTAGAAACTTGTTTGATGCACCAAAATTGTTCAAACGCACTCATTTCTCTTTTGGAAATTGATTTTTTTCTTCCTGGATGAATCGAGTTGAATAATACATTTTAATGAAAATGACTATGGTTCCAGGGATATCTGAAGGCTCTGGGTATGGCGAGAACTGCTGAAGTGAAGAGGGACGCGAGGATTGGAGAAGCTGAGGCTCGCAAGGATGCACAAATTCGAGAAGCCATGGCCGAGGAGCAAAGGATGGCTGCTCGTTTCCTCAATGACGCTGACATCGCCAAAGCACAACGCGATTTCGAACTCAAAAAAGCTGCGTACGACGTTGAAGTTCAAACGAAAAAAGCAGAAGCAGAGATGGCATTTGAGCTCCAAGCAGCCAAGACTAAACAGAGAATCATGGAAGAGCAGATGCAGGTGAAAGTAGTGGAACGTGGACAGGAAATTGCTGTTCAGGAGCAGGAGATGATGCGTCGGGAGAGAGAGCTGGATGCAACTGTTCGACGTCCAGCTGATGCTGAGAAGTACAGGCTGGAGAAGATGGCTGAGGCTAATAAACTCAGGCTAGTGATGGAAGCAGAAGCTGAGGCTGAGGCTATCAAGGTTCGTGGTGAGGCTGAGGCCTTCGCCATCGAAGCTAAAGCCAAGGCTGAGGCCAATCAGATGGCTAAGAAGGCTGCAGCATGGGACGAGTATGGAAGTGCTGCTATGGTCGATATGATGCTGGACACGCTACCAAAGGTCGCAGCTGAAGTTGCTGCTCCACTGTCTCAAGCAAAAAAGATAACAATGGTTTCCAGTGGCAATGGCTCCATTGGGGCTGAAAAACTGACCGAGGAAGTACTCAACATCGTAACCCGTGTTCCCGAACTTGTCAAGAATATGACAGGTGTAGACATAGCAAAGTCCGTTCACGCAGCATAAATTGACCAAAAAGTCGTCCCTTGTCATCCAAAGATAAGTAACACCTACCATAGATGTGTAATCGAATAATCCAATTTTAAAAATTGCACTTTTTTCTTTTATTTTTAAAATAAGACGATTTTTATTAATAATACTGTAATTTGATTTTTCTATGGAACAGAAATCTTATTAGGATAAATAATCGAAGTTTTTCCAGAACAAAAAAAAAATATTGATAAAATAATTGTATTTTCATACTTCTTGACAAAAATTTATAATCTCTGCTGTTAAAATCTAGGAAATTGCCATTGTTAGCTTAAGGATATGAATAATCATAGTCCAATGGAACATTATCATTACGAAGATTAATTTAAAGCAAACTGGTAAATATGACGCAAACAGCAATGAAGTGGTAAACGGAAAAAAAAAGATTGATAATGAGAAGTAAAAATTCAACGGAGTACGTTTTTCGATTTCATTGCGGGAATAGTTACCATCATTATGTGTGGTCTCAAGCAATTTTTAGATGTCCTACAAAGTGAAAATTGAGAATATAATGAAGTAAATCACATATTTACGATAGTACTCATCGTAATGGTAATGAGCAGAACAAATGAATGTAAAAATGCTCTCACGATTCCAGATTGGACCGCGAGCTCAACGTTTCCCGATCATGTGTAATGTAAATTATAATAAATTTTGAAATTTGCTTCATTTGAAGTGGTTGTGTGGTTTCTCAATTTGTAAGAAATTTTTGCTCTATTTCCTGTCCTTTCTCTTGTTTTTTATTATCTGAAGATGATTGGATTTTTTTTAACGTTTTATATTGGATTAATTAGGGTTAACATCTGGCATGGATTACGCCCATTTGGAAAGCCACAGAACGTCATTCGGAGATCAGTGGAATAAATATCTTCGAATTATTAAAAATTATTGTCGTTACTCTGGCACTTGTTCCATTTGTCCTGTTGATGGCCAACACGATTCAACGCATTTGATCTCACACCCATTTGATGGGACGAGGTCCCAGCAGCTGCGGATAGTGTTTCGAATTTTTTTTTAATCTAGAATTGACTGGTAAATTATCATAAGCTTCCTAGATGCTTCGTGACTTTCTGGGGAACACTTGAATGAAATATTAACATCTTCCACGAAT